TTAGAAGACCTCAAGAATCGGAGAATAAATACAAACAATTTTTCCCAGTTTCAATTTCATCCTTCTCCCGAAGATCACAGGGCTGTCGATTGGATATTCGTCTTAGATACATTGAATTATTCGTTTTGGAGCAAATCGGATTCTCCAAAGTGGACCGTCAACGGCCAGACAGGATATTTTGCATTGTGTGCTTCTATTAAGAGGGCGATGGATGTGAGTCATATTCTTTTATAATCTTAACAAAAGCACTCGACCATAGAACTAATTTTATCTAAAGTTAAGCTGGTTTTGATAAATATACGAATAATGATGCTATGTTGCAACAGCCTTAATGGAATCTTTAATTATTTGACATCTGCACTTTTCTGTAGGTGTAGAAGCTGTCGCTGCTTCAGAAGTTTCTATAGTTTTTATCGTAGACACAGATTCTCCTATTGTTTCCAATTCAGGTTTTTCTTCTTCGTCTATTTTTGTCTTTAATCGTCTTCTCTTACCTGTTCTTCTTTTACCACTTTTACCACTTTTACCACTTTTACCACTTTTACCACTTTTATGAACAGTATATTTTTTCTTTTTCCTTGCTTTTGAATTTTTTTCTTTCGTTTTGGTCTGTCCATCCTTTGCTATCTTCCTCTCATTTCTTTTTTTCAACATTGTATTCTTATCTTCTTTCATTGTTTTTTTCTTTGTTTGCGATACTTTTTGATTGGGATACTTAATACGCTGTAGGATATAGTTTCTATCGAGTTATCTAGGTTTGGTTACATGATTTATCAGATTGCCAAAACAATTTAGAAATTCTATCACCTTATCTGTATCACGTTTCATCGGAGTGGTATAAGCATGCATAAGCTTGGATCGATGTTCCCTTTTGTCAGATTTTACAGATGATACTGGATTCTGCGATATGATTCGTGGTGTTAATTTTAGTTAAATAGTTGAATTTTTATTAAAAAAAATACTTATGTATCGAACGTTTCTGATATTTATAAATTTAAATGGAATACTTTGTCAACATGGTCGTTAAAACCTTTCTCGCAGCAAATTCGTTCCCCACCTGCGTAGCGTCTAGCCAAGTAACACCTTACGAACATTTTTACATCCTTCAAGAGTCCTACAAATTAAATTATCACGTTTATCAATGTCCGTATGTTAAACTCTCAAGTACTCGGTAACAAGTACTTTTCATTCTTTCTGTTTCTCGGTTTATTTTATCATTATACGCTCGTATAAAGTCTTTGCGTCGATCGTCTATACATTGTAACAGAAATTGCTCTTTTTCAATTTGTTTCCTCTGAAATTCGTGTCTTTTTTCCCATCTAAAATATTACGACAAATGTTAGAGAGAGAAAAAAAAAAAAGAAAAATATTAGCGACAGCTAAAGAAACTTTCTTTAAATTAATTTACTTGGATATCACAACTGTAATACTTGAAACATTGATGCATACTTTTGTTGTACCAATTTTCGTTTCTCTTCTTGTTCATGCGATAATCGCATTTCCCTAGTTTTTTTGCGTATGCGTTCTTTTCTTCTCCATTCTAACAGAGTTTGAATTATTTTATGTCGTTCACGATCTGCTGCAGCTTTTTGTTTCTGTCGAATATGTTCTGCTCGCGTTTTACTCTTAATACGTTGCAAGTTTTGAACTTGTTGTCTCCTTAATAACAACATGTGTAACCTTTCTTCGACTTTTTGTTGCTTCTCTTTTTGTTTTTCAAGTCTGAGTTTTTCAGCAATTTTACGATTTCTGATAATCGTTCTCCTCAATTTCATTAACTTGTCTCTTTCTTTTAATCTGATGATGGAAATTGTATGGTAACGTTTATAAATATTATGTATGTATATGGTCATCTGTAACTCGATACATGTTTTCGTGGTTACCTTCTCACTTCGTTCTGTGCTTGTTCTTGCGCATACCGAATAGCTCTTTCTTCGGTGGACCATTTCGATCTTTTATTTAGCTCCTTCCTTATACTGTCGCAGTGTAACTTTCGTAAATACTTTCTGTACATGTTATAATCGCGCAACGAGCACTTTGCATCTAAATTCTTTGTAACAAGTCCAGTTTTGATTAAATGTTGAATATTATTCGGTCTGGAGAAGTAAGGAACTAAATGCTTATCGTGAAGGGAGTCGTAAGTTAATTCCATTTCGTAGCAGTAAGGATCGCTCAAGTTAAATTCTGCATCCGGTGCCGGAATCCATAACTCTTTGCCAATTTTACGTCTGGTAAAATTATAAGCACCTTCTGGTCCAGGTACCATTGGAATCTTTGACTCTAATGGCATTACTTTCCATTTTGGTAGACCAAAATTTGGAATAGCACCTTTAGGTTTAGGAATCGATTCGATAAGCTTGTCCAAACCTCTGATTCGAATAAATAGGACAGAAAGAAGAAATGGAATTAATTGTGAAAATATATTTGTAGATTTTACCTAATGAATGCTCACGTGGGCCTTTTAAGACTAATTATGTCGGTAGTATGTTTATCGCACGTTGACATCATTTTATTGGCCAGAAAGCGAAACGTTTGGTCAAAAACGATTCTTGAGAAATTTGACGAGAAAATATCGTTTCATCGTTATTCGTGTACGCGTCCAACTTCATTTGTTTACAAATCAAATGTGTTTACGTTGTTTTAAAAATAGTTTGAATATGTATCGTGTATCGTGTATCGTTTCATTGAAAAACATCGTAAAACGCTTAATTTATTGTACATCGAACAGGAGGGAAAACCTATAATCGACCCAAAGTATTACTCTCGCATAACGAGGTGCGACGCCGAGCAGATTTTTCGGGGCGATAATACAGCTACCATTCCACTTTTAGACGAAAGAATAAAGTCATTGCGAGAAGCTGGAAAGATTTTGTTAGAAAACTATCAAGGTACTTTAGTTGTATACAAACAAAATTAAAAAGAGAAGAAGAAAAGAAAAACGAAAGTGTATAACATTTGTCTTTAAAGGATTTGATAAATTGTAAAGTTATCGAGCGTGCTTTTTCTGAGCAAATTATCATACTTGATTCGCTACAATTCGTTACACTTTGCTAAGTATTGTATTAAGTCTGTGATGCTGCAAGCTGAATCGTAAAATGTTGTTCGATCGTAGGCACCTTCACGGAATGTATCAAATTGTGTTCAGGTTCAGCGGAAAAGTTGCTGAAACTTATCGTGAACGAATTTGTATCGTATCAAGACGAGGCCGACTACCAAAATCTTCGAGGTAGGTGTGCCAGGCCGAAAAGGCAAGGCTAACTCTGTTATCTTTAAGGTCAATGCACTAGTAAAGTATCGATTTGTCGAAACCGTAAAGATAACGGTGTTATGTTATATCGAATCAGTCGCTTACGAGCGAACGCTTTCCTTTTAGTAAGTTTCTACAAGAGGGCACAAATATTGGTGGCCGATATTTGGACTTGTTTCAACGGCGAGGGAATAGGTGAATTCCACGATATAGACTATATCACGGCATTCGCTGATTACCGTATTCCTCAAGTTCTCTTGCACTTTGGGGTGTTACGTTATAGCAGTGGACTGCTATATAGGCTTCAGTGCGGTAAGTTTTCTTGCAAACGAATTGTTCACTTTCAGTGCGGCCATTGCACCAGTAATCCCCGAAGAGTATGTGATCGTACACAAGTACGTTGATCGTACGTAAAAGTGTTACGACGTTACGACTTTGCGACTACCGAACGAGCCATTCGATGAAAGAGAGCTTCTACCGTTAGAATAGAGTGTAGCACGTTACACCTTTTACTCTGACATTTGCAGATGAAGAGTTAGAAAACGGCGGGGATGACGAAATTGAAATTCGCGGATGCTCGATAAGGGCTGTCGAGTTGATGAAGGAGGAATTGAGATATTTGATTGGTCGCGATCCGAATCTAAACTTAAAGAAAACAGATGTCAACGAGATATCGATAGATCACTATTTATGGAATTATCGACGGGATCACGCCGCTGAGCTAGACCGTATACCGTTCCATAAAACGAGATGCATATATTACTGAACATTTCACGCATTCCTACCATCCTAACGTTTCCAAAATCTTTTTGGAAACTCAACTATTTTTGCGATTAATAACAGGTAATACTATTGTAAGACGTTTGCAGTTTAACGGATTCATGTATTTTCGAACGTTCGAATAAAACTGAGCCACCGTATGGTTTCCCGTGATCGTGACTTACCCACGATATGTTCTTTTTTTTTTCTTTTTTTTTTTTTAATCCTTGACCGTCTCGTTACACTTTAAGCATGGAGAAACAGAGTACATAATACATTTCATACATTCATAGTTTTGCTATTTTATCAAAGGAACATCTCTCTTTCTGTCGACCGAATTTTTATAATTATTTATATATACATTGACATAAATTCTGACATTAATAAATAACAAACAACGCACATCTTACGTATTTAATTTCAAGTTTATATAAATTTCTATGGATTATAAACTTGCCAGACTGAATTCATACTTTTTCAATGTATTTTTGTTCTATACACGAAGCAATTTAAACGATTCGAGTCACATATACATATAATATTTACAGTCGATCGCAAAAACGGCCATAAAATAAAGAATGTATCCGAAGAAAAATGTACGATTCAAAAAGTAAAGTAGATTTCAGTTGAAATTTCGCAAAGCGAACAATTATTCCCTCGTAAATTTCGAACATTCATTTTCTTTGGCTGATCGTTAACGTCATTTGGCACGAGCGCAATCGTATCCGCGATTGCTTTTAATTTTATTTTCGACGATGCACTAAAACTAGAGGACGAACCATCGATTATTCGTTGAGCCTGTTTCGGTCAATTTACTCTGTTCGATGTTTAACGATGTTGAGCATGCTTACACTCGGCAAGGATGGCAACCCGTTCGATATGCTTCGTTAAGTTTCTCGATTGATTCACTTTTCCGGCTAAACTTTAGCAAAGTAGAAAGTCGAAAATTTATAACTCTCTTACCTTTAAAGAAATGATGGAAAAAAGAGAAATATGAGTTTTTCAATAATTTCATCTCTATTGTAAGTATGTTCTGTTTCGATCGGTATTGTACACTGTACAACGGTACACATCGGATAACTCGATTCCTAGCAATTCAGCTTTTTCTGTGCATCTGTTCCCAGAATATTATATTTGATTTCAATTTGCCGGGAAAAATTACGCCCTTATCGGTGCACGTGTCGTCAGCGTCATTTTTGCCTAGAATCACTTCCGTTTGGTTTTCCGGTATGTTGAATTGTTCCATCGTAACGTGGCTAGCTGGGGGTGAAGTGATCTTTGTCGGAATTTGCCTGAGACCTTCTCGAAACTGTTTCGAAAGCGATCTCGCGGTCAAACTGTGCATCTGCCTTGGTGTTTCCACTATCTGTACCTCTGGCGTTGACGACCTGTCTTTGTTCGCGTTGTTTGGCTTGACCGTCTGAAAAGTATAAGCTATTTATTCTCCACGTACGTACGGAATGTTAAGCGCGACGCTTACCTTCGAAACAGCTACAGATCCTGGCACTGGCTGCTTGTTGAACGCCTGAGCAAGTCTTCTCACCGATGGCATCGGCAGTACTTTATCAAAACCAGCGTCGTTGAACATTTTTTTTTCGATACTATCCATCGATCGTTTAGTTTGTTCTTTATCGCAAGAATTGTCCGTGTCGTTCTCCGACTCGTTCACGGAAGAGTCGATGGTTTTCGCGTTACATTTTTCGATACTGTAACCGTTAGCGATGTTCCTCGCGGAATCATTCTTGATCACCTCTGATTGCGAGTCGTACGAGTGTCGACTATATTCCTCGACTTGTTCGCCCTCCTGATCGCTATTGGCATTCGAGTAATACCTCGGCAAATTTGGCACCGATTTCGCAGACTTTAATCCAAAATCGTTGTAACTTTTACTCTCAAACAAATTGTTCAGAGTTTCCGTACTTTGCGTTACGTTATCGTCCACTGAAATTCGAGTCTCGATCGCATCTCGATCGTAACCTTTGCGACGCGTTAGGTTCGACTTGTTCGTTACCCTGACGATTCTAGGTTTGCAGTCCTTTTCGTTTACGGTGCTATTCAAATGAACATTAGACTGCGTACGTCTGATGCCATCGTCGTAGCCAAACGATTTCAAATCCAATTTATTCACAACTCTCGGAGTAGAAGTCTTGGATGTCTTGTTATCGTTGGATCGAAACGAGTTATCGAATCCGTAGGCTTTCAAGTCGATTCTCTTGATCTTTCTTTGATTCTCTTCGGAATTGGACTTTGTTGTTTCTATAATTGGATTGTCATAGTTCTCCTGACTGTTTAGCTTTGCGTTCATTTCGTTTTTGCTGTTTTTTCTCTCGGTTTCTAGGATCTCCTCGATCCGTTGGTCCTCCCAGCTATCGGAGCAGTTATTTTTCTCCGCGTCGCCTTCCCCGTGTCTAATCAGAGGCTGATATCTCGTCTCTAGATTGTTCATGTTGATGTTGTTGTTGTTGTTGTTGTTGTTGTTGTTCTGCCATTTCGCCACTTTGGATTTCACGTCGTTGCTACGATTCAAGAGAAATTCAGTCTCCTTGTACGACACGTCCTCCTGAAACAGAAAGGGATTCGAGTAGAATTAAAAAATTTAGCGATCGCACGATTAGCTTGGTCGTTTCCGATTGCGGTGAAGGGATCGTTGATAGGATTTCGTATAGTTGAGGTTAATTAGTCTGGTGAAAATTAAAGCGCGCGGTGCAGATTTGTTGGTGACATTCATGCGTGTCAAGCGTGAAAAGTTAATAATTTTTGTACTCGGTACCGAAAGCCATGATCGCATAATACTTTCAAACCATGTCTCGCATGCATGTTGGATTTGTTAGTCGGCATGCATCGTATAAACCCATGTAAACGGTACTTACCGACTACAAGGCTCGGTTTTCGCAGAGTTCATGCACGTGCTATGCGCACAGAACGACGTTAGATCACGTTTCGACAGCGTTCGTTCTATGATCTACGTGTACTACAATATATACATGTAAACTTTTGTTTTCGTTTGTACAAGGTTGACGTTACTCGTGCATTCATCTACAAGAAAGAGTCGTCAGAGAAATTGATATACAGTGGCCTCTGAAAAGGGTGTCGGCAACCCTCGGTGTGACGTGTTAAGAGATAATTAAGTCGAAAGCTCTGACGAGAATCGAAGAAGAACCTACACCGCAACAAGTGTCATGCGTTTCAAGTAAAGGTGGATTATTCGTAAATGGTATATTTGAAATATTTACACGGAATAACATAGGTACATATTTGTTGGCCCTTGTATCCAAAGAGAGTCATACGTTTTACGCTTATCCCTAAAATGTATTTGTACTTTTATTCGCGGACATGTCACCATATCGTGACGTCACTCAGACTTGTCACTCCCGGCTTTTTCTTCGACTCGGCGGTTTCACGTGACTTCTTTTTACTCTTGACTCGAAGGTCTCTTAGGGTTTCGAAAGTTCTCTCGACAACTTGGGCCACTATAGGTGGTTCTAACTTTCGGCTGTCTTTGTCGTCGGATAAACGATGCTTGTTCGGAACTTTAACTTTCCTGGGAACGTAGTTGAACACTTTTCTTCTGGACGTGTTCGGGAAAGCCACGGAATCGTTCGAGGTTTGCTGTGATTTAATCTTGTTCGAAGCATTCTTGAGAAACTTTGTCAGGACCGTTTGATCCAACTCGTGATCGTTTTCGTCTTTCCAGTCGTCGTCCGAAGACGATCTAGGTGGATACGACGATGCGTCGACCGTATTAGTCTGTCGATCGAAGGATTTACCAGGATATTTACGGCGGTGTACGTCGAGTCTCGATCTTGAAACGTATCCATTCGAAAGCCAAGTTTCTTCTTGGAACGAATTCTTAGGCCGTCTAATAAATCGCGTATCGTATATCGTATCATTTGCTACCTCAGCGTGAAGATCGGTGCTTTTAGTTTTTACGATAGAATTGGTTCGAGCAGTTTTAGCACCTTTGGCGTTCCTGTGAATCCTAAGAAACGTTTGTTTGGCCGTCCGGTACGTTGGCAAATCCTTTCCGTCGATCTTTCGGCTACCTTTTATACCCCCGAACGTCTGGAACCCGAACTTACCAAAGTCCTCGAAATCGAACCTCGAGGGCTGATCGGGTTCTTCGGGTCTCGGGTCCTCGTCGGAGTTTTCAACGAAATTTATGCCGACATTTTTTATTCCGCCAAACGTGTGATACTTGTGGCAGTTGATACTCCAATACCTTCTTCCGTTTGACGATAGAATCTGATTGTCTTTGCCGCAAGTGTGCCAGTCGTTGGTCCACAATCTTGCACAAGGATCCTCTTCCTTCTTGTTGCTTTCCAGATCGTGCATGTCGATGGAATACGTTCCTGAATCAACATCTGGTTTGTCGCACTTGTTAGCCTCGTAGACTGGATTATACGCCACTTGTCCAGTGGGTTCGTTCCAACGAAACGGAAGATGTTGGTAACTTTTCGATATCGAGTCTGTTGTCTGTGTCTTGGAAGCATCGCGATCGACGCTAGGAGATTCGTCGTTGTTTCTGTAATCGGTGGTTTGTGCTGGCGCGGTAATGTCATCGTCGGATCTGATGTGCAGGAGAGGGTTGATCGCGAAATGTGGGCTGGAGTACGGATCGCGATAGCTCCATCTAGTAAGGCTGCCGCGCAGAGAAGCCGCCTCGAACTTTTCGAGCTGGAAACTCACCTGTTGTTCCTGGTCGGCACCCGTTGAGCTCGATCGTTGGGACAACGAGCTGCTGGGCCTGCTCGACGTTGACGCGGCCGATCTTCGTCCTTTCTCGATGCTCGACGCTTTCGACTCGTTTATGTAATAGTCCCTGCCGAATCTGACCATCAAAAATCAAATATAACAAACGTTTTCATCAGGCCCTAATTGAACTGCAACCAGAAACCTTTTTAACCCTAGAAATTGACATTACCTTTTAATGTCCGGTTGATGCGGCGTCAGAACGACTTCCAAATCCGTTCCGTTGCTCTTTGGCAATTCGGCGTGAATTCTAAACGGTGCAAACAATTAGTTTTTATTTCAATTAATTTTCTATGGAATCGGTAAAAATGATTGTAGTATGACTTTTACCCAGGAATGTCGGATGATCTCCTCGTGTATTGTCTCTCCCATAACCTCTTTTGAATGTTTTCCTCGCTATAGGGATTGTTTTCGATAGGCGGAGCATTTTCCCACTTTTTATGCTCGCGTTCAGCGATTGTGCCTGTACAGAGGATAGGTACATTTTTTAGAAAATTGACTCCTAGTTTCCTCGATATATTCTTTATCGAAATTTTAACAACGGAAACCGCTAAAATGTACGAAAGCTTAGGGACGACCGGTTAGATCGATTAACCACCTGGTCTCGGAGGAGTTGCCAGCCGAACGTCTTCCTCCGATTTCTTGTTCCGCGGAGAAGATTGAGAAGCCGATTCAGCGTGGGCTGCAGCCACAGCTGTTCGGCACCTGCTGCACAGTGGAATGTTGAAATTCGATTACAATATCATTAAAGCAAAAGAGAAAGGCTGTTAGGGGGGTCGAGGAACCCGAACCGTTAACGTTTACGTTTACGTTGACGTTACAAAACGAATGTATCTTCGAATCTCTGAATAGAAAACAACGGACATATAACTCGAAGTCCTTCACACGGTTCCAAGAAAACCTATTAACTTTACGTCGAATCGAGGACACTTTTGCTTGTTTGTTTCTTCACTTTACCTTTCCTTGGTTTCCGATAAGCCGTTCTCAGACGTTGCACACCGAACTTCCGATTCGTCGTCGATCCCACCGTTCTCGGTTTTCGTTAAACTGTCCAAGTGTCTTTGGATCGCGATATCGTAATGCTCGGTGTACTCGCTTTCTTGTTGAATATCCTCGGCTGCAATAACAGGTCGTGTAAATATTATACGACGATTACGTTCGAAAAAGATTTACCGTGAAAGTCGTCTCTTCGTTGATCCAAGTTGATTTTCGCGAATGTTTCAACCGCGACATCGTTTACCCCCAACAGTTTCTGCTTAGCGTGTTCCAACGAGTTCAGAACACGTTCTTCGGTCAAGTTTAATTCTATCGCGTCGTTTGCGCCTCCGATGTTGATTTCCGCCACGGAAGTTTTCCTTGGCGTGGACGTAGGCGTTTTTGGCAAAGCTATATCGTTTCCCTCCGGCAAGGAAACCCTCGAGCGTTCCGTCGGCTCATCGGAATTAGTTTCAACGAAAACAGTTTGCTCTACCGGATGATCGACGTTCCTTGAATTTTCCACATTTACATTTTCCTTATTTCTTGATTCTCCTTCTATTTCGATCTTTTCCGTATCATCGTCGATCACGCTTATCTGCTTTGGAATTAGTTCTCCATCGGTTTTCTCAAACTTGTCCATTTCTTTCCGAGTATCGAACGTGTTTGATCGTTCGACTTGTTTGGCTGTTACTTGCTCAATTTTTCTACTACCTTGAAAGTCTTCCTTTCGAGTTTCTACGCGATTTCTTTCGATACGCGTATTCGTGAAAGTAAAAGAGTCAGTCCAAAGGTCGTTGGAATTTTCCAGGCACTCGGCCAGGCCATTTTCGAGTAACCTTTCCTTTGGAGACCGTGGAACGACGTTGTTTATGGCCTCTAGAAGCTCCTTCTCGATTTCCTCGTCGGATTGCGTCGAGGAACACTCGGACAGGTCCGACGTGTCCTCCGCATCTTTGTCGCCGATCATAGCTTTGAAATCGGTGCTAGAATTCGGGACCAACATGGCAACGGGATCGGCCTGAGTTTGAATTCTCTTTTTCTGAAACAGCCAATTCTCTTCCCAGGATTCAACCGGAGACACCAGAGCTATGCGCGTCGGCGTTGTCGATGTGTCCGGTTCATCTTGACTATCTTCCGACGATTCCTGCGAGGCTGGAATTAAATCGTGATTTTTATCCAGAGAAATTTCAAGTTGTTTCGCGCTCGATTTCAGCAACCGTCGTTAAACTGTCGGCGATTTAATCGCGAGTCGTCGCGTCGGCGTCGTACCAAAGTGGATAACACTTACGATCGATGATATCCATCCCGAGTTCAGGAAATGGCACACGATGAGCGCTCCTAACGGCTAAGACATCGTTATCCTTGGGATCCTCGTCGGACGTATAAGTGGTAGTCACTTCCTCTATTTGTTCTTCTATCTGGAACGAGAAAACATACATTTTTTCTCCAACAATTTATTAAGCAGTTCCGGATTGATTAAACTTTCCAACTTTTCGGTCACCCACCGTCATAGATAGTGGTTCCGGTTGATTTCTAACGTGTCTCGAGCAAGACGCGCCGTAGTCGCTGCTGGAATCGTCTCGCGGCAAAGGCTCCCCTTCCTCGACCCCTTGGTCCAATTCCGTTTCATTTTCGACTGGAAAATAAAAACGATAATCACCGTTGCTCCGTTTTCGAAATTGTGCTTGTGCTTGTCGTAGCGATTATCGATGCAAAATCGATCGACGGGTGCACTTACGCTCGCTTGCCGACATCGGTTTTCCATGGAGAACGTTGCTATTACCGTCCACCTGTTCCTTTTGGAATTTCTCGATGACCTAGAAAATTCAGCCTTCTCATCGATTTATCCTCTGCCGCGATCGAGACAACGCGTTCGATTCCGCGTTGTTGAAAACGGTCATTTCGAAAACCTATCATCGAAAAAAAATTCGTTCTGAACCTTGTTAAGTATCGCAGTGGCGAGAAGATCCTCGTAACTGTGCTCCGCGATGTTTCCTTCATCCCGCGATCTTCCGGTTTCGCTGGAACCGGTGAGACCAGGCAGTTTCCGGGCCTCCTCGACGGCTCGTTCGACGACATCCCGCAGCGCTGTGTGGACCATCGTTACCGAGTCCCTGCCGTTGGCTTTGTCTGAAACATGTTTTACGAACAAATAAATTTGCCTCGTCAAAGATTCTCACATTCATCTCGACACGGACAAATTGGAATACTATTGGTAGCCGAGAAGAAAGTCTCCGAAAAGTAGACTCGATTCGACCCATTTTCTTCATGCTGTCGCAAGTACGACTGATATGACAACGAAGGCCGTGCTACACGATTAGCCTATCGAGCATTATTTATCTTTTATTTGTTATTCCAAGTTGGTATCTGGGTTAGACTATTGCTCGCTTAGGATCCGTCGTCGGCGTCTGTTCGAAGAGAAACTTGCTCGAGAGTCGAGTAAATTCTGTGAAAGGGTTAACAAGTGTGACGCGACAGGAAAACCGGGAGCCGAAGGCGTACTTTCTTCGAAACGGCGCGGCGCAGCCGTATCGGTAATGGATCGGACGATGAGCTACTCCGCTACTTTGGTCGCACGAACGCACAGAGTTAATTTCACCGCTTCGGCCTTGTCAGCGATTCCCCGTTTCTTCTTCATTTTTTCGTTTCCTATATCACATACTGGGCCTACGATCTTCGCCATCGCGAGTTGCGTCGTGTCGCGTTGCGTCGGGTGAAATTTCTCGAGAACGACCCGCTGAAATCTCTCTCCCTCTAAATAGTTCCCGAACGATACCTCGCAAGTCAAGGTTTTTTCCAATTCCGATATTTATGGGTTAAAATAAAAAAAAAGAAACGAAAAAAAAAAAACGGTCGATATCGTTAAACTATTGCGACAACTCGTAAAAGAGTATCAAGTTTTAATAACCTTTCGGTAAGTTTTTATAAATTGCGCGTCAGTCTTAAACGTCCTTCGTCGTTTTCTTACTTACGATCGAGTCGTATATTCGTAAAATGACGTAAACACCTGAAGCTGTTGCTTATACAATTAATCGTGTAAGAAAATTATCGGCTTTAATGGCTTCGTATTTGAATATGCGAAACAAGATGATTGAAGATCATATCGGTTAGACGTGTATCGACGAGTAAACGAGATTTCATTTATCGAAAGATTTATGTTGAACGATTTCTAGGACTCTCTAGGAAAACAATTTGACGACTAGATACTTGCTTTCCGCTGTTGATAAACAGCTTAACCGATAAGATAAGTGACGTAGAACAAACGGTACTCGAGGTTGCGCCCGAACCGGTATCGAATACTTCGCGAAAAAGGTACTTGTGATTTTGATCAAAGTAGAACCGAAAGAAACGCGCAAGAATCGTATAATTTGTACGACACGGATGAATCACTTTAATCTTTCGAGCTTATAGAACGCGATGATGTTATCGCGACGGCAGCTGTGTCGCGTTATTCTTTCGATCGATTACAATCGAATAAACGAATCGGTGAACAACAATGCAGCGATTGTCGAGCAATAGAAACTACAAGGGAACTTTGCTGTATCGTGGCGGATAAAAACGCGGTGCAGATTTATGAAAAAAAGAAAGAAATTTGAAAATGAAAAATTGAAATTTGACAACGAAAGAATATTTTGCCTAAAGACGGGTTGTTCTTTCGGTAAAGGAGAATTATTGTTACGGAGTATTCTCTGAAACCGTAAAAGGAGATGTGAGGGATGAAGAGAGGAGAACAACGAGATCCTCTGGTGACAGATTACGTGCAAACTGTGCCAGGGACATGCGAATAGTGTACTGGTGACAATTTACAATAATCGCGATGAATCTGTGCCGCCACCGTCGCCGCCTCCGCCGCCGATGTTGCTTTCACAGAAAAAATTAGATTGCAATTTTGTAACCTATCCAGTAACTATCGATGAAAACGATCGGAAAAATTTTAACAATTTACCACAATTTCCGATCGCTCTTGGCTCGATTAGGATACATTTTTAATTGCACGATGGACGAGGGGAAAATATACGTAGTATAGCTTTCATCCAAGTTTTTTCAATGAAATATTTACCATCGTTTCTGGTGATCAGGACGTAGACGAAATAGGCGACGATCAGGCCGCCGATTAACGTCAGCATCTCGGCGTTGTATTCCAGCAACATTTATCATTCGTTTCACATTGTATCGTTCATCGATGATTTAGTAAATGTTCACACTTTTCACTTTTCAGGTTGATGCGGTATTATTACAACGATTATCATGTTGCTTCGTCGACGTCCGCACCCGTGCGATTGTCGCTAATTTTCTATTCAGCCACTTAGCGACGACACTCTGAGAAATATCGACAAATTTCTTCGGCTAATATAAATAACCTGACCTCGCACGTTTGCGTGTTTATTATGTTAAGGAATCTTTTAGTCGTTCGGCGCGTGTCTTTTTTCTTCGGCCAAGATTTTCAAGTTTCTACCAAGTTATGCGAAACATTTCGGTATATGGAAACATCGACGATCCGAGAAGGTTGCCATCGCGTTCGTTTAAAAGATACTACCTAGACGCTGTAACTTTCTCATTCTTTCACGATCGGTAAATAGCGGAAGATTTCAACGAGCATTTTCGCGGTTAATCGCGACCCATTCCTGATTCTTACGGAAGAAGATCGATCACGGCGGACTTTCGGATCGAGAGTTTCGGTTATCGATTCGGTTACTTTCTTTCCTAATCGCAACTACGAAGCACAGTAGAATTTAGCGAATTTTTCTGTATTCGAATGTTGGAATGCCGAGTTATTCGAATCCTGATCGAGTATACGGATATTCCAAAAAAAAATCCAATTAACGATATTTGCATACTCGATCGCATTCGTAATCGTATCGAACGATACGTGATCTACGTTTCATTTAAATCGATCGAAACTTAATAATACGGATGTCTATTCTTGGAAGCCTCGTATAGCATTGAAATATTTATCTTCGCGAATCTTTGCGCAAAAGTGTGCATGGTTTTCTCACATCGACACGGTAAAAAGTCTTGACTGGCTCTGTTATACCTTCACTGTCACACTTAATTACACACACTGTACGGTGCTTTGTAGCATTGGCCGCGGATGCGCCGCGCCGTCGCGCACATGCCCGCGTCGTCATCCTGTAAACGTATTTACCTATACACGCGCCATTCGGAACGGCCTTTAAACTCTCATTTGAATAGTTGCTTGACGATGCCGACGCGGACGATTCTGCGAACTTTGAAATTTCTCTCGATCCCGATCGACGCGAAACGACTTCTTTTGCGGGGTTCGCGTCAATCGAAGGATCGAGTTATCGTTACAAATGCCGTCACCGATGATAACTTGTAAGTTTCCGCAATCACGATTGCGAAGGTGTCGCGATTCTTAAATATTTAATCTTGGTGTAGCGCCAAGTGTTTCTCACTAATCCAAATTCCATTATAATCATCTCCTCTTTTCAGTTTCCATTCGATATCTTAAAACCAGCAATCGTCGTAATTACACCGGTCGATTGCTTAACGCTAGCTTTGATTATTACACCACCTTTCATGTAAGAACGAAAACTATTTCAACCCGCCACTCGTACATTAGCCCATGCATGGCTTCGTGCCACGAGAGGGTTTCGTCGCGTGCTAAACGAGTAGCAATTGAAACTTGCCTCGAGAACGCGGAATCGATTTTTCGAATCGAGATGGTCCTTTTATTATCTTTTTCTTTACGCGAGCTATCTTATCTCACGAGGGCGCAATTAACCGACAATTAGTCGACCAACACTTTTTCGACGCGATTATAGCGCGATTTAAATCTTGGAAAACTTAATCGACGTGATCGCAGGCCTGTGACAACCAAGAGATGGACAGTGGACACATTTTACCGAATTTTATACGTCAATTGTCGCGTCGCGTCGCTTCTTAATAAGGTATACTATCGATAAGCGCTATCGATTCAATTCTGTTTCACGATATCTATCGATCTACCTTGATAACTGAACGACAACTTCTTAATATGTAATATCATCGTCGAGACTATCGATCAAACCCTGTTCGTTCGAAATTTCTCCTTTTCTCGTTAAGTTTCAATCGAAAGATACGAGAATTAAATTTCAGTAGAGATTGTCCTCTGTCGGATTCGATCGTAACTTTTTTTTTTAAACACACTTTCGATTCACTTTTTCGGTATCACTTATCACTGACGGCGAACCAACGGTAATGAAGCATAGCTTCGAAAGTGCGACAAGTTATTCCGATTCGTTGCGTAGAAGGTACCGTTTTTATGCGGTGTCATGCTCAGGCGTTCAAGTTTCAAGCTCTTCGACGACTGGTTATAGTGGAAAACACGAATCGATTGCGTGGAACCGGCGAAATCACTGGCGGACCGCGTGTTTTTTTTTGTGTGTGTGTATGCGCGCGTGTGTGTATTGCTTGCACTGCTCGCGACTGAGCCTTTGGCAAAGCGTTCCGATACGCGAGCTACGTACCCCACATACGCCGCTGTACGGCTTCCTTTTAGTGGGGGATACTTTTGCAAGGGAACCTACATTTACTAAAATCGGCAGATGTCCTTGTGTCGCTCGAGGAAACTGTCCCGTTTCGCGGAAACGCTAAACGAGAAATAAAACTTTTTTTTTTTTATATTAGAGATAATAGTCGTTTTTGGTAAAAATGTTTATAGGAGAAATTTTTCCTTTCTAAGTTTTCATTCAAGAGAGAAGGTTGATATCTCGGTGGTCAAGTTAACGTGGTTCAACTTGTGTTAAAATATTCATTTTGATATATGTATTTTCCTACCACTTGAATAACGAATAACCAAACGTCATAGCTTCTAATAATAGAAAGAAAATGCTGGAATCGTGTAATGCTTGCAGGCTTATCGCAAAGTTCTCTGTCGTGCACGGCAAAAGTCTCGACTATTACGCGAATTGCGCAATTCTATACTCGAACAGGTTGCCGATTTCGAACATCGCGTTGTTTTCCCTCCTACTTTACTCGATACGACGAAAGCAAAAGAAAAAGACACTTTGATTGTTAATAAAAGTATTATTAATAAAGTAGAAAAAGTATCCCTTGAATCCTATTCAACTCGTCTCTTACGTAAATCATTGAACGAGCCAAGTCTGGCTTCGTATTGTTGTCCTCGGATCGTTAAATCCTTCATTGTTACAGGTAGATCGGAGGTTTGTCCTTCGACGAAGGAATCGCAAATGAATCATTGTGCGGCGGATAGTAGACACAGAATGTACTATGGGACGTTATTAAAATAAAATTAACAGCCGTTTTATACAAAGTATTAGGTTTGTCGCATATGAATATTTGTCTCGCCTCGATAAATAAAATCGACGCTCCACTTGGTGAGAATTCTTCTTTTACCATAACAATCGTAGAATCGCCAACTTTCAACAAACCATCTATGTACTTACTGTATACCGTATACATTCTTATCGAGTTTTCCCAACGAAATACCATTCCGTGAGAATCCTCGAAGAGACTCCGAGCGATAATTATGATTTCTATGTCGCTTATGTAACTCACAGGGCTTCATCCGAGACGTTCGGATATAATTGAATTGCCGCGAAGAGAATGGAAAGACCAAGTCCATTACGAACTGCTTTCCGGTTAAGTGACCGTTAATGTTACAACTCACAATCATCCGACGTTGAGTATCGGTGTGTTAGCGTCGCGATCGAAGGGTCAATGGCGTCAATGGCGTCGATGCCGTTTTCGGCCCTGATAATTCAAGTGTCAGCTCATCGATGTACCGTGCATACGGTAGTATTAATTTTCCGTGAAACCACGAAAATGATTGATATCGCGTGGAAAACATCATTCGGAATAATGTCTACGCAAGACTTTTCCTTTTTATTGCAATCGAGTTTTTGCAGTTTTTTGATGCGCGAGCAGCACCTGTATCGCGCAACCCGCCTTTCAACGCTGCATCGTTGGGCTAATGAACGATGAGAAATAAAAGGGAACGTTAACTAATTGTTGAAGCAGAGTTTAATCGAGGGTTATTCCGGTTAATCGATGTTTTGTCAAATTCGTATCATCTTTGCTACATGTATTCAACTAGTTTTATCGAATTTATTCAAAGACATTTTATGCTCGGAGGTGCAACAAACCGTTCGCGTCGAACTAGTAGCGAGATACCAAGAGTTAATAGCCTGACAGGTAACGTCGTAGTAAAAAGAAAAAGAAGGTAATCGAGACGGTCGAGAGTTAATCGTTAAGTAGGTAACGGATACGGGCAGCCAGTAGAGATATCGGTGCTGTAATTGAGAAAGGAATTGGAGATTCTCGATTCTCGACTCTCGACTCTCGACTCTCGACTCTCGAGGCACGTGTCGTGTGTCGATCTTTTCGTTTGACGACGTTCGAACTTCTTCGGCAGATGGCAGTATTTGTTGGCGAACCATCGTCAACTGCGCGATCGAATGCGCTTGCCGTACCACTTGGCGGCAAAGATGAGCGGGAAAATTTTATTCGAATAATAAGCGTATCAAGTACGTAGTTTAACTTACATGCTGGAAGAGCGTACAGTCGATCGATCGGCGCGTCGTTCACCTTGCCGATCAAACCCTCCGCTATCTTTTCAACAAAGTCTTGAACAGTTTCCATCGCGTTCGTCTCTTCTTTCGCGCTGGCCGAAGCCAAGCCCGAGCAGGCAGCTGCATGTTCCACTCCTGAAAAAAACGTTTAATCGATTATAATTGTTCGTATAAAATCGTTAGGAACAATGCTCGTATAAATTCGACAGGTGCACTTGTCTAAGAAATCAAGGTTACCACGTGGTTTTATGGAACAACTTTTAAATCGAAATGGAAACGTGTTTTTTTTTTTTTAAATATTCTTTATTAGAATTATATTTACTGGAACTTTCCACGCACGTATACACAAAATGAAAAGGAGCGTTGTTACTTTGTAAAGGAAGGGGAACCTATATACCGGGGTAAAACAGTTATTGAAACGTTGTCGTTTCAAAGTGGGTCGTCGGACACGAGATCTCGGCGACGTTAGCATAACTTTTACCTTATCGATGCGATGCGTAAACATTTTTACCGCGAACGCACCTAGATAAAACACACGATTCAAAGTCGCTTCTTGCACGCTACGAGTATACTATATTTTCGGACACCTTGTGCACGATCAAATAAAAAGAAAAAAAGAAAAATTACAAAGGATAGATGGAAGAACTTACTCATTCATGCGGTAAAAACTTTCTCCCGTTAAGACAGACGTCACGTTTATTCGTGCAGCAATTTCATCGCGATCTACATCCCACAGGACACGCCAACTCGACGATCTTAGTTAGCAAAGTCCATAACAAACGGCAAATTCACGATTTACGTGGTTTCACGTAAACGATCGATGCACCGCGATAGGGAATCCCTATTCGACTGACACGGCCGAGCGCTTTCTAAACGAAAGTATCGACGACCATTAAAGATCTACCACCGTACGCCTTTTTTCCATCGTATTTGTAACCGCATTCTCTTAGCGAGTACCGCAAGACCGGTATATTTATCAGTTATCACGCGCGAGCTCGCAGAGGCCGAGCGCGAGCAGCCACAGTCGATCCTCGCTCGAGGATATTTTGCGCGTTGTCCCTCGCCGCTAACCTCCTGGCTTTGAAGATCCCGCTTGGCCGGATCAAGGTTGCTCTCTCTTCTCCGAATTGGGCGTAGTCTTCTGTTTTTAATAGAAAGAGAGAAAGAGACTGCCGCCGTGATGCAAAACCGCGTGTAGCAAAGGTCGTTGTCAACAAACTTTTCTTTAAGTTAGATCACCGTGGATTTTTATTCCTTTTACTTACTGGATTATCAAAATTACTCGTCTTTTCCAAACTTTACGTCAATGTCGACCCTCTTTACTCTTCGCGAAAAGATTCTTTCATCAAGTTTACGAGATGATGAAATCTTTAATTTCCCAATTCTTATATTCCACTTGTAGAACCTCTCGAAAAATCCTCATTCTTTATCACATCACATTTTACATCACGTCACGTTACGTCGCGTCACTATTAATTTCCACTAATATGCGAATTCAAAATTGATCACCTATCGGCAATTTATTTGAACGATTCCCCGAGAACCTGTTGAATCTCTGGAAACTTCTTAAGGAGAAGGTCGGGTTGGAATGGGAGCGAGGGTGGGGGTGGGGGTGCGTGTTTTCCGTTTGATTAGCCGATTTTGATCTGTGCGAACTAGTTCGATCGAGTGATTTTTTTTCTCAACTCTCGTTCTCAGTCTTGATTAGGTCTCGCAACTTTCGCGAGTTTCTCGCACGCTTTTAACGTCCTTGCCGGTTATTTCGCGTTGCCGTGCACTCGAGCTGGTTGTTGCATAAACTCACCAATTATTCGATTGAAAACTCCTCGGTTACGTAAAACGCTAATACCGCTAACGAGTCGTTGCAAGTATCGTTAAGTTACAGACAAACAATTTAGTTTGTCATTTTTTAGTGGATCATTCGAACGGGTATTTCAGGCAAGGTACATAAATTGAAAAACATGTGGTAGTTGTATCAATAATAGATACAGTTTGACCGATCGACTCGGTTAGAGCAACCGAAACACAATTGTATTCCAGGAACTCACTCGTTTTGATACAAGAATTTCCGAGATACCAATAGTATCGAAACAAACACGTCCTATCGATATATACTAATCGTGACTCGTGACTCACATGTGTTCGAACGGTGCAATCGATAGTCGACGGGATTCTCGTCACTTTGTGTAAACGATAAAAAGACGTCGATAGTTGATGAAAATGACTTTTGGCTGGGGCTGGACTCGAGACTCGTTTCACGAGAAAAAGAATTTCGGCCGATAAGGTGAGTAACGGAGCAGAGGAAAACCGTCGAAAGAGGGAAAAGAAAGATGACGGGAGTCCGCGATGTTACTCGCATGAGTACTGGAGCAGAACTGAGAGGTTCGCCACCTCAGGCTTGGGAGACAATAAGACCGATGAACGCGCGGGAGTTCCGTTTCTATGGGGACCGAGAACCAAATGGATTACGGATTAGGCCTCGGAGACCGTTCTTTTAACCTAGGACTCGATAAACTTTACAGAAGTAATAACGTTTCTGTTAGAAAAGTACAACTTTTACGTGACGTAAACAATGTTACCGGTCTTGCGACGCCGACGCGATGCTCATTCGAATGCCAAAATCGGCCCAACGCATTTCTCTGTTAATTAGTTATTCTTTCTATCCCCGGTATTTATATTGTATGAAACGAAAATGTATCTTTCGGTTCGAATGATTGGTTTTTGGCGTCGCGGACTTGACGATTGCGGAATCGACTCTGTGCTTTTTTAGCATTCCATTGCGAACGTTGATCCTGTGCAACTGTTTCCTTTTTTCGGACAGCGGAGAATTCGCGTTTCGTCTAATCCCATCGTTGATTGCAAATCATTCTCAATGTTCAAATTATTATTTATCAGTTCCTTGGAAATCTGTTCGGAGACAATAAGGGAGTGATAGATCGTGAATCTGGTTTTCGGAAATTTTATCGCATGGAATGCGCCGCGCTTCGAGATCCTTGCACGTTTTCCTAGAAGAAATAACGAGCGTGGATCTTTCGGCTCGCGAAAAACGAACAACAGGAACAAACACGGTGTTCGGCACGATGCAGTCTGACCATGTTTGGCGAAAGAACAGATCCTTGGAATAGGCCGCGGCGCGGTTAGTAAACTGAGAAACCTGATGCGCAACCGTGGACAAAGAATGCGCCTTGATTTCAACTAGACTCGTAAACACGCCTTTTCGAACGTTCGTAATCCTTTTAGCAGGAATTAAGATCCGTTAACGAAACGCTTACCAATTAGCGGTTAATTCGCGTGTAATTAAAATTGCTCGAAACTATATTCGTATCCCATCCGTTTTATTGAAACGAACGAGATCGTGTTTCGAATAATTTAAAAAGCATCGTTCACCTGTGTACCATTAAATGAACGATGCGACACTTTCGTAAACGAGTATAATATAACGTCGACGTCGGCGTCGTATCAAGTGTCTCGACACGTTCGCTTTTCTGATACATACAAGTTTCTCATTGGCAGACGTAACCGGAAAACGTTGCGAGTCTCCTGGTTTTAACGGAGGAATCGCAAGATCGTGTCGCGATACGGGCATTTTTCGTCGACAACGTAAGAAAAGATGGTTTCCACGAAAGGTT